CGTGTTTGCCAAACGTGAGGTGAAGCCATCTAAAAGTAAAACAGTCACAGTTTCTCAGCTAAGCAGACAGTTGGAAGAATCTCGTGGAAAACCAAACAATCCATTCCTGGAGTACTCCAAATTTGAAGGAGAGGTGAGAACAACTCAACTGACATGATGGATAGTTTTCAGTTGGGTGGTAACTGGTTTTATCTACCATAAGTACTCGAACAAACACCCTCCCCCTCCTTGCACCCCATCAATATTGGCTGAAAATTAAAATAAGTTTTGTCTTAAAGAATTTCAAAAGCATATCCCTCCCCCCTCATTTTTTTTTTTCAGGGCAAACACCAAGACAAAAATGGCCAATGAAATTACTATTAGTGTTAATTTTGATCAGTCACTCCTCTCCACCTTTTTCTCTCAGATCTGCTTCCACTCCCTGATCAGGTTGCTCTAGATCTCCCTTCTTCCCATGTTGTCACCATAGATCTCTCCTTACAGTTGCTGAATCTCTCTTCACAGAATTGTAGGCCAATCCAGATTCAATACAGTTCTTCTCATTTCATCACTGATTCTGTTGATGTGTGTCTTTGTCAGTAATAGCCTTTATTGCTGATAATATTAAATTAATTGAAAGAGAAATCAGGTGTTCTTTGCTTTTATAAATTAACTGCAGATTCACAGTTAGTAACTCTATAAATGTTTGGACAGTTCTAACAGGTTACTGTACTTTCTCATTTCAGGCTTATCAAGGAACATGCGTTACCAAGAAACTAAAAATATTTTTAACGATGCTGCCAGAGGTAATCATCATTGAGTGTGTCGGTGTTTTGGCTAAGATCTGAAGCAGGTGGCTGCTCTGATGCAGCAGTCATCAGAGAGCAATAACAAAGAAGTGCCGGCTCTCTAGGGCTCACTGGGTCTTATTGAATGTCTTGGTGCATCACAGCCACTGATAGCTCTTGCATGTATGTCAACTTGAAAATTCTTGTAACTGATTGCTAGAAAAGCCCTCATCCGGACTCTGATTACTGGCTGCCTAGTAGCAGTGGCCATTTTAATAGGAGTTTGACTGTACAAATGTCATGTAAAAATTAAAATAGTGCTAGTTGGGAGAAATTGAAAATTTAAGGTTTTTTCCCATTGAAGTCTGGGAGAAGGCAACAAGATTGATGTACATGTAGATGATAGTCAAAGTTAGAGTTTTAACAACAGTGGTTAGCAATGAAATTCATCAATAGTGTGCGAATATATATATCTTATTAGATGTTTTGGTGTCTAGTATCGCTTTACATTGTTACTTGTTGTTGGTATTTTGATGAGCCCGTAATAAGAGATTTATTATCCAACTGTTGTAGTCAATAAATTTATTAGTGAAAGAGGGAGAGTGTGACAGTTTCGCCTATGCGTGCCGACCTGTCCGGCAAACAGGTTTTCTACTGTACAAATAACTGAGCAATATCGCTGTATATTTGTACTGTTATTTGGACGGTATTTGCTGCAGTTGGATTATTTTTTTAAAACTTTACATTCTACTGCAAATAGCCCATTTCCAAGTTGCCTTAAGCCTCACTATCCAAGCGAGGCCTGGTGCACGACCATTCATATGAAAATGAGTTTAATTTGCATGTGAATGAAACCTATTTCATTTACACAGGAGGAGAGGGCCATGCCAATGATTGTCACAGTGTTAGGTGAGACATTTGCTTTCTTGTTTTCATGTTGATCTACCACATAATTATAGTTACAGCTCTCTGCACTCATTGCTTGCCTATGAGGTTCCAAGCTTGATACATTTGATATAAAAAATCTCCTGGTGGTTCCACAGGGGTTTGGCCATTTTAATACGGGAGTATAGTTTTTGTCACGTGGTATAATGCTATTAGCTTATATTATTATATGGCTGGCTCCGTGAGCAGACAAGATGAATCAAATCCTGCACTGTGATTGGCTACCCGAGCATGCAAGATGGAGCTATCTTGCCTGCTCAGGACTACCTGGCGTATCCCACAAGAAAAATTTTCCCGAAAGCCATATAATAAATCCTTTATTGACCAAGTTTGTTCGGTCAAGATGGCTGGATCTATTGTCCTCATTCTTTTCTTGCAAGTTTATGGACGGCGACCCCGTCCCAGTCCATAAACACACAAAAAAAGAACTTGGCCAATATCCAGCCATCTTGACTTCACACTTGGTCAATAGCCCATTTATATAAAGCTGAGCTTTCTTCCCACTGGATTTATCACATCCTGTTACTAATGTAATAATAATTTATACTTGCAATACACCATATTTGTATTCTTGGTATTGGACTGGAACTAGTTTGCAGTGGAGGCTCATGCAGCAGAATATCATCAAAAAGAGATTAATGTCATTTGCATTGGAAAAGACTGCCCGAATTAGTCTCAGTCGCAAGCTATAACATGGATGTCCAATATCAAAGATGTATGCTGTAAACCAAGGCTGCATGCCCTGGTCAACCTATTAGCTAGAGTATAGTCACCATGTTGTGTAACACTTTGT